CAGCTGCTCTTGGTCGTTCACATAGCCACAATCATCTGGCTTCAGTGTCTCAACGTTTTCAGGATCAAAGTGGCACTCCAAGGCATGATTGATGGTGTAGGCATTGTAGAATGCACGCTTGATATGAGTCAGGAGTCCCTGACTAGTCGGTGGTAGGCTGTGGAGAGAACCCTCTTTGCTGAAGTGGAAAACCTCTGCTCGATATTCAGAGAAACACTTAGCATTGCTACCTCTTTTCAGTATATTCACTAAGTAATGCTCGGCGTTGCGAGTCATGGCCGGAGAGATGGTTGGTAATTCCCCAAAGTGTTTCAGCAACTTTTCAGGCTCTGCCTTTAGAGCTGTCTTGTTTGTACCATATTTGCTGGTTATGTCACACCCTGTAAGACTGTGTATAGCCGGCAGTGCTGCACAGAGCCGATTACCCAGGCACTGGAACAGGGTATGAAGGGGTATATATCAAGTTGTATCTCCCATTCCAGCTCGCACCCACAGCGACTCAAGGTTGTGTTGGTGAAAGACGGGCATGTAGTAGAGCAGAGCAGCAATAACATCTGTATCGTTGGAGATTACAACACACACTTTGTGTCCTGCATTGAGAGAGTCCAAGACGTGGATGAGTATTCGGAGGTCAGCTTCTTTAAATGACAATTTAAGGTGTGGCAATGCTTTTTCTAGGCCTTGATGGACCATGATGCACTGCCAATCCGCGTCTTCTTTGGTCACTTGTCCGAGTACAGTGGGATATTGTAATGTTTCTGAAGTATTTGAACAAAGATGGCAGTAGGTTAGCTTCCCGAGAAGCTTATTCATGTTTGACGGCCAGAATCTCTTCATCTCCTTTGGCAAAGATGTCTCTGGTTCAATTGAACTGTACTCTATTGGTACAGTTTCAGTGCACCTCTTTCTCTCACTATCCTTCACTGAGGGTTCATCTGAGTACATGTCAAACACATAGTCACATCGCCCGAACTGATGGCATACATCCGAAACAAGAGTAGATAATAACACAATGTGTTATTATCTACTCTTGATCCGAAATGGCTAAAATCCTAAGAGGAGATCCTTGAAGCTGGAGAGGCTAGTCACACAAACCTTACGAACTGTGGCCATTATGTCTATGACATATGAAGTGTTCTTTCGATGTCTATAGCCATAGTCCTCAAGTTTGTGATTAGCCTCCAACTCCTTAATTAACAGGCTCTTACCTGGGCTGACCATCGTCCCGTCCTCATTGAACAGGAGAGGTAAAGGTGCAACATCATATTTCAAGAGGTCCGCGGTGGTGAGGCCACGATCACGGGCGATTTCAATCGTTCTCCCTACAACATTCATCTTCTTCGCTGATTTTTTGATGGTCTTCTGCGGCTTGTTTCGATTTATTTTCATTGTTTTGAGGTTCGCTCGATGATTACTTTCACTAAGTCTTGTGGTTTTCTGTACGAACATTTTGAGTCGAAATGTCAAGTACTTCTCCTCTCCTTTTGCGAAGGCACTCAGTATGTCATTTTTGATCTCTTTTGCCATGATCTCCTTTGTCACGAAATTATGAAGCATGAGGGAAGCCCCTAGAGACATGGGGGAGCCCTTCTCTTCAATGAATTTTACCATTGCCTGGATATGAGACTCCTTGCGAACTGTAGTAGCTTGGGATGACTCATGGTGGTTAAAGGAATTGTGTGTCCTCTCCATCACATCAGCATATCTCCGATGCAGATTCTTTACTGCCATCATTTCATGGTATATCAAGTCCCATTGAGCAACGTACTGCTTTTGCTTGGCATGCCCGATGATTCCGTCACTGCATTTAGATGATAGGTTTATACTTTACTCAAGCTTCTGGTCACCACCGACTGCAGTGAACCGGCCAGGTTTCTCCTTGATGGAAAAGTTCCTATTTGAGAAGTTCACATGCATTGATGGTGCAGTTTGAGGTAAACGCCACATGTCTTCCAGGTAGACAGAGCACCAGCAAAGATAGTTTGTTGAGTCAAAGGCGGCGAATAAGTATAGAGCACGTTGGACGGCATCAAGATGAAGTTCCCATATCCCCTCACGATTTGCTCTCAACAGATCATGCACCACAGCCATCATGCGGAGGAACTGAGCCCAGAATCTGAAGTTCTCATTCACAGCAGACCGTGTTGCGATGAACGTTTTCAGATCTTCGAATAACTT